TTACGTCAAGCAGTTTAAGCAGAATCGTGGTTAAGAAATTACCAAACTTTTTGGAACATCCTGTATGATTGTTTAAAAAATTTCAAAATATGTAAAAACAAACAAATAAAATATGCTTATCCAAGCGTTTTCCCGAAAGACTAACCGTTTTTTAAATAACAAATATTGTAATATTTGAGGGGCGTTTTCACCCTCTTGAAAGTTGAGATTCGGGAAACCCCTCCTTATCGAACCTCTACACCCCACAGTCAATCCGTTTGCCAAATATCAGCTTTAAACGTCAAGCAGTTTAAGCAGAATCGTGATTACTCAATTGTCATATTTTATGAAACACCCTGTATAAATTTATAAAAAATATTAAAATATGTAAAACAACAAAATAAAATATACGTGTTTAAGAGTTTTTAAAAAATATTTTAATATTTGAGGGATAGTTTCACCCCCTTAGAATTCGAGTTTCGAAAAATCCCTTCTTATCGAATCTCTACACCCTAAAGTCAATCTGTTTTCCAAAAATCAGTTTTTTACGTCAAGCGCTTTAAACAGGATCGTGATTAATCAATGACCAGATTTTTCGAAACACCCTGTATACATTTTTAAAAAATCTTAAAATATGTAAAAAAACAAAATAAAATATTCGTGTTTAAGCGTTTTTTCGGAAACTTGACCGTTTTTCAAATAAAAAATATTGTAATATTTGAGGGGTGGTTTCACCCTCTTGGAAGTGGAATTTCGAAATATCCCTTCTTGTCGAACCTCTACAACAGCGTATAGACTGTTAAGAAACTGAATCAAGTGAATTTTTAATCTAAATTTAATAATTATTACTTTCTATAGTTTTTATTAGTAAATTAGACGAATTCCCAATTTTACGGTGATTTTCTAAAAATGTCATCCTAAACTAATTTAAAACCACTTTCAGGTACAAACCAAGTTTGTCATGTATCCGGAAAATTATTCAAAAGACACGTTACGCTCCGCTCCGTGACATTTTAATTTAATAATGCGATCTTGCCAGCGTCAAAATTTATTAGACTTTATACAGAAATAACTCCTAGCTCTCTCAACTTTACCAACTAACACATAGCAAAGACATCCCGATAACCGGCAAACTTCCCTATGAATCGATACTGGGCGTCTAAACCCTGTTCGAAACGTTGCTTTTGCGAATTTATCGAGTTCGAAAGTTTGTCAGATATGTCGCAGATCTCTATAGATTCGGTTTAATTCATTTTGCAACACTGTAAAGCAAAATATCTTTACATCGTATATTTTGTTTGCTAGTTCGTTTTTTTTTCTGGTAAATGCAATGGAAATTTGCTTATTAAACAATTAAACAAATTAGGCAAAGAAAATAAACGAGCTAAAATAGAAAAAAATGGCTATACCTATGTGGCGGATTCATCTCTCCAAAAAATCCTATATGGGTATTTGGCCACTGCAAGAAAATCTACAAAATAAAATAGTTATTTTTTGTAAACACTTCTGCGTTAATCAAAATGGAAACTACTTGTCAGAAGTTAGGTTTACAGATACCGTGCTGGCAACTGTAACTTTTGGGTCGGCATTTACATGTGTGGAAGTAAATCGCATAGGGATCTTATTAAGTTGGAGTGAGAGAAATGCAACCGACCGACGCGACGCGCGACGGTGTGCTGTTGCGGCGTTGCCGATACGCCTTTCCCTATCAAGTAGAGTAAAATCACGATCGCATACCGCTTATTTTTAAAAGACTTTTTTTTCAAGAGATAACTAGATAAAATCATTAGACATGTTTCTGAGCATCTGAAATGGAATTATTAGGATATCGTTAAGGTGTCATTTTTTTATAACGAGAAAACGTCAGTAATCGCGATAATTTAAACCATAACTCAAGAATATAACTCAAGAACCAATTTAGATATTGAAACTTTTTTTTTATTTTTAAGATTGGATATTTTACAATATGTTTACATAAGAAAAATTCGATAAGGTTGTTTATTCCATTCAAAAATTGTAAACAATTCATCCATTTACTTTTCGAGCATAGCAATTTTCAGCAATCGTGTAATTTTTTTATTGATAAAAATTTTCACATACTGTCTACAAAGAAAATACAGCAGAAATATTAAGAAAGTTCTTGAAAAAACTACAACCTATTATTTCTAATAGATTTCGAGATATCGATTTTTGAATTCAGAGTTCTAATAGCGCGACCACTATCGAACACCCACTCAATTCCACTTATTTTTACCAAAAATGCAAGTGTTTCTAACTTGTAAGCTATAGGGAAAATTACAACGACTCGTTAATAAATAAACAAATTAAGTATCACGAGACGTAATTAAATCGTGAAGCTGAACGCATGACGTACACCTTTCCCTAGAACTTTAAGTACTGACAGAGGTATTGATTGGGTCGACCGGCCAACTGCGACAAATCACTTGTGTCTAGCCCTAGCAGGCAACTGTTAAGCCCGACCAATCACGTTAGAGTTTTTGACAAACACAAATGAATTAACACACTCCAAATAACCACGCTAACCAACCTGATTGGTCAAGCTTAATAGTTGACGGCTAGGACTAGACATTTCTCGACAAATCTGCTATATCCCCTTCCATCCCGTCTCTTAGCGATGTGCACAGTTTCTCGGTTTATTTCATACGTTTGGCAACGTGTTTACTGTCCTCTCTTTGTTCAGTACATTATAAAAGCATTGTACTCCTCTTACATACGGAAATCTCGACCCAAGGCTAACCTTTGCCCGCCCTTAGTATACAGATTTGCCTAACGAACAAAAAAATGCTTAACGTTTCGGAAAGTTTATCTCTTTCCGTCGTCGGAAGCAAAAAAAATACAAAGAATAAAAAAAACTATTTAAAATATTTAAATTCAACTATTCGAGAACACTGTAGTTTTTTAAAACTGATACGTGTACAAAAACCGTTGACGTTCTGTTAAAATGACATTATATCCAAGTTAACCTTCAAAATTAATAATTACTACTTGATAACAATTACTTAATAAGGTAAAACCAAAAAGCCCCAAACTTTTTGTATGATTATTTAAAATTTTTACGTATGTTATGTTTATTTATGTTATGTTCTTTAAAATCAAAGAAGCGATTGCTATATCCCAAGTAGCATTTGGATGTTATCTAACGTCGGGTATACGTCGCGTTCAATAAACCCGACGTCGCGTCGGGTACCAACGTCGGTTCGACCGCCTGACGACCCTTATTTGCACCTAAATGGGGAATACAGATTCGGGTCGCCTCGACGTCGGTATCTGACCTAATAGGGAATGTAATTCTACCAATTACCAACGTCATATTACGTTGGATTTTAGTTACTTAAAAGTCGTCGCTAAGCACTTACGTTACGTTTGGTTTCATATTCGCTACCAAGAATACATAAAAACCTAACCAAACTACCTAATTACAAATGGATTCATAATCACTCCTCGAATATAACTATAAGTGCCTATCTAATTTCATATTATAATAATTCTGAATTATTAATCCAGACATCAGTTTTGTCAACGGAAGTCACTTTTTTGATATATCTGATCAAAATACTCCGGAAAACAACGAGCGCCTTCAAAATTAGGTAGATTTATGAAATGAAAATGTCTATAAAAAAGTAACTTGCAAAACATTTTTTTTAATTTTCTAGCTGGTTTAATGATAAAACTGTACTGTGGTTTCCCCCAAACTCAACCTTATCAATATTATTCTACTAGAAATCGAAATGTGAATATACATTTTAAAAACAAAAAACGATTATAAAATGGCTGACAATCGGATACTTGTTAAGAATGGCGGATTTCTGTGTCCGACTTAATATGAACTACCAATATACCAATTCCGACCGGGTCTCCAACATTAGTCGTTTCACACGACCGAAGTCATCAAACCCGACGACCGGCAATCGTATTATGACGTATATAATTCCAACGTACGCCACGTAACCTCACTTTGCGTATCAGCAAAGGTATCAGTGATTGCATATAGTTTCAATCGTAATTTACATTCTAAAACAACTTGAAATTAGTATTATGCAAGTCAAACCACAAGCAGATAATAGTAATAATATAGATACGCTACTGGAGCAACTGGGTGAATTTTATTATATTAAAATAATAATAATCTAATATACATATAAAATTATTGTGTCACAGTTTTAGTTCACCAAAGTACCGCAAATTTCACACGAAAATGACGATTAAACAGGTTTTTTTTTCAGGAAAATACATGATTGTCTTTGAGAGAAATATTTTTTTTCAGGAGGAAAAAATTAGGGGGTAACAGACCAAAGAGATACACAAGATTACTTTACATTATTTTCTAATCCCCCTATCTAGCTACGTCACTGCGATGACCTGCAGGAATACAGGATTAATTCAGTCTGATCCTGGGGGAATTCAATTTGTTTTCGAGGGGTGAAGGGGGGGATAAGTAACCTATTTGCGGACTTACATCCAAGTTTGAAAAAAGTTTCAGCTGTTGGCCAGAAGTCGCTTGGTTATCTGATGGCTGCGGTCCGAAGATCTAACGCAGTTATACAGTTTTTTCGGGTGTAGTTTTCTTCTTTTAGTTACAGACTTTTCAGGGTTTTTGCCGGGTTGGTTTTGATTTGATTTCGTCGGAGTAAGAGGTTGCTTTTACAGAGAAATTAGATTTATACTTCTAGAAAATGTTTTCTTTAACATATGTATGGTTGATCAAAAAAATCGACTATTTTTTTTCAGATTATACTCTGAAAATATTTGTTGGAAATAATAATTTCTGGCAAATAATAATTGTTTACGTTGTGTATAAGCATTTATTTTGCAACCTACATAACGTGTCAACAGATTTAATGGTTTGTTTATAAATAATTTATTCTTTGTATTGTTTTTGTTGCTTTCCTGCGTTAATAAGCGATTTAAAACCAAAATCATAAAATTAATGCTATTTAACAATATATTTTTTCAATTTTTTGCTTGAATTTTTGAAAAAATTATTTTTCTTTTCTTTTCAGAAGAGAACCCGGCAGCCATGATGCACAACAATACCAATCATCATGTTGCATGTTATTTTCTGCTCTTAGTTTTCCTGTTTTTGCATGTATTATGTTTTGCCAGCTAAAAAAACATTATTGGAGTGTATAGTTTTAAACTTAAGACTAATATTTTTGAAGTTGCTTTTCGTACAAGTAAGTTGTTTTAAAATTATTATTTTTTTTGTTATGTTTTTTTGTCCTTATTTTTGTTGACATTTTATTTTTGTTATATTATTTATTTAAAAGAATTATTTAACTCTCAATATATTTAAAGTTAAAAAATACTAAAATAGAGTGTTTAAATTAAATTTTGTTTCATGATAAATCTAATTTTTGTATTAATTTCTGTATTTTTAGTTTTTCTTCTTATTAAATGTACATAAGTTATATTATAATATTATGTACGTATGTGCCAATAAAATAAATATTAATTACTCCAAATTTTATGTACATAATATTGTAAATTTTTGTATAAAACAAATATATCGCAATTAATATAGATTTATTTAAATCAAAAATAATCACAATTAAAAAAAATCAAGTCTTGACATTTTGTTTAAGGTAATAATGAACAAGATAAATGATATGAAAATAAAAATTAAATTTTTATAGTTGTTTTATTTAAGACAGATCACAACAAAACTGTAATCTAAAAGTTTCAAATACATGGGAAACCACAATATACAGGGTGAATCTTAAATAAGCTAAATAACTGCATGATCGAAAAAAAAGGGCGTCAGACTGGCTGGTGAATGAGAATCGATGATAATTTTGGCGAGAACAATTTCTAGACCTCATTTTCTAAAAATATGGAAGAATAGGGGTCAAGTAATTGATGTCTAGAGATTGACCACGCTAAAATTACCATGGATTGTTATTCCCCAGCCTTCTTTGGCGCCGTTTTTATTTCGATCGTATGATATTTATTCAAGGAAACTATTGACATTCTTTGTGATTCTAACCGGACATAACGTCATTTTATAGAGAAAATCCCGATTTCGAGATAGAGAATGCTAGAGAAAAATACTTGGAAAATTGGCAGAACGAAAATATAATATGGAGGAGAATCAGAATTTGCCCTGCTGATTTTTGCAGCCTTATTTTTTCCAGGTGACGTTGAAAAATCTTTTCCCGGATTTTCCCCGAGACCTCTACAATTCTAGGACGTATTTACTAAAGGTAAGAACTATGCTCCTTGTTAGAGAGGGACCATTTTTATTGTATGTGTACCTTCTGGATTCATAAAAGACGGAATTTTTATTCTTTTTTTTATATATAACTAAAATTACATAGAGGAAAGGTATTGTAAATCAAAACTATTTATTCTTAGTTCTACAGTTGTTCATAAATTAATAACTGTTTTCTGTTGGGTTAGGTCAGCGCACGTAAATAAGTTTCACTTCGTAAAATGTTTTTATTATATTCTCATAAAGAAACGTTTTTTCATTGCTGAACATTATTTTTCAAGTAATTTTCTATAAAAACCATCCATCCATACTTTATTTACCTAGGCGTCACTTTTTTATTTCCTCTGAGATCTTATCTGGTATTCGGCTTTCGTCCTGTCTATCCTCGTTCCTTTTTCTATGTTTACTTTGCGTCTTTCCCAAATTTCTGGAGGGATTTAAGTCCAGACAAAACGCTTTATTTATTTAAAATGAATCTATAGAGCACACCGTCTCAAATACTATATACACGGTGTGCCATATAAAAATGCACATTACAGGGATCGTTTATATTTTGAGCATTGGATTTGATCTAGCTAATTTTTGTCACATAATTATAGGTTTATATCTAGTTTTAATTCTGTAATAAATAAAATATGTTTTAAACGTGTATCTTTTTATTACCGTTGAGTATTTTACTCTACAATCTTTAATTTTTTTTAAATTAACACAAGGTAAATCACAGCCACCTAGTTTTTTCAAATAATAAAGATCTACTGACGCAAAATCAAAAAATTAAAATATCTAGAAAAATCTTTGTCTGAGGGTTAGGCAACCTTCTTAATAATATTAAGAAGATATATAAATTCCCCATTGAACACCGGAATAATATACTGGGTGTTCCATTTGAAATAAAGGAGTAACTTGCTTTTAAAAGTGACTAATGTTCCATACTAATTTTGTCTCACCCTGTATAACTTTTCCTTCTGGTCAAATTTCAATTTAGTTTAACATACAATGGTTACTGTAATTAAATATCAGGCTATACAGGGTCAACTAAAATTTAGGTAGCTGTTATCGAAATTTAAAATTTACTCTTCATTTTCAGAAAATGTGAAATATGTAAAAAAATTCTTAGATTTTAGGTATATGCTTCCTTAATAAAACTCACCTTTATTTTTTTCCTAGAATCCGAAAATCAATTAATATATAGGGTGTTCCGTTAGAAAAAAGACAACTTTGATGTGTAACATTTTTGGGGGACACCCTGTATAATTATATATATCTTTATAAAATGCTTTAAGTTAACGTACATATGCTGCCAAAATTTCATTTCGATATAATATATCGAAGCAAGCGATTATTAGGTGGCATATGAAAAATATACGAAATAATATACACGTACTGATTTGTTTCGAAAATCCACAACTATGAAACTATGAACCCTTCCCGGACACAAACGGTACATCGTGAGACAAAAAATTGTAGAGCGAAACAAGCCCTGTAACATGGGATACAACATTTTAATGAATAGTGCTTTCCATAAAATCAATAAAATGAAAAATATAGGAAATAATATACAGGTACTGATTTCTTTCGAAAATCGACAACTATGAAACTATGAACCCTTCTTGGACACAAACGGTACATTATGAGACAGGAAATTGTAGAGAGAAACAAGCCCTATAACATAGGATACAACATTTTAATGAAAAGTGCTTTCCATAAAATCAATAAAATGAAAAATATACGAATATAATATACATGTACTGGTTTCTTTCGAAAATCGACAACTATGAAACTATGAACCCCGGCCACAAACGGTACATTGTGAGACAGGAAATTGTAGAGAGAAACAAGCCCTATAACATAGGATACAACATTTTAATGAAAAGTGCTTTCCATAAAATCAATAAATTGAAAAATATACGAAATAATATACATGTACTGGTTTCTTTCGAAAATCGACAACTATGAAACTATGAACACCGGCCACAAACGGTACATTGTGAGACAGGAGATTGTAGAGAGAAACAAGCCCTATAACAAAGGATACAACATTTTAATGAAAAGTGCTTTCCATAAAATCAATAAAATGAAAAATATACGAAATAATATACGTGTACTGATTTATTTCGAAAATCGGCAACTATTGAACTATGAACCGTTCCCGGACACAAACGGTACATTGTGAGACAGGAAATTGTAGAGAGAAACAAGCCCTATAACATAGGATAAAACATTTTAATGAAAAGTGCTTTCCATAAAATCAATAAAATGAAAAATATACGAAATAATATACATGTACTGATTTCTTTCGAAAATCGACAACTATGAAACTATGAACCCTTCCCGGACATAAACGGTACATTGTGAGACCGGAAATTGTAGAGAGAAACAAGCCCTATAACATAGGCTACAACATTTTAATGAGCAGTGCTTTCCATAAAATCAATAAAATCAAAAATATACGAAATAATATACATGTACTGATTTATTTCGAAAATCGACAACTATGGAACTATGATGAACTATGAACCGTTGCCGGACACAAACGGTACATTGTGAGACAGGAAATTGTAGAGAGAAACAAGCCCGATAACATAGAATACAACATTTTAATGAACAGTGCATAAAATCAATAAAATGACAATTAGGTGGCATTAATAATATTATCTAGCCACCTCAAAAAAAATCTAACTCTTGCTCCTAATGCTTTGTTTTAATGTCAATGTAGAGCCAATGCAAACCTTTATTGTTATATTCTAGTACAGTAAAATTACGTTACGACCAGAAGATTATCAGTAATATAGGACGGTTATTAGGAAATGTATCTGGTTTCGATGATTCCAACACTACCAACCTCGATCGTGGATGAAATCGATACATATCCCTATTACATAATATGCTGATGTACATGTACAGAGAACACATATACGTATCCATGTTTGTTTGCAAAATTAGATTTGTTAATTAAGATCGGGCTTATTGCGAAATTGTATTTATGCTGCTTGTTTAGAAAACACTGGCGGACATTTTGGACGGTTATTTTTTGGTAATTAACTATGGAATTTGCCAGACTGAATTCACAGAGATTTCGATTGCTGTTTAATTAAAAACAATTATATATAAAAGAACCGTTTAAAAAAATATTTGCACGAAAAATTTATTATATAATTATTCTAAAAGTGTCAGGAAGTATAATTTGTAAAAATTCTAAAAATAAAAATAAAAAAGTAAATCTATACTAATACATAAAATCCTTAAGTGACTGACATACTGATTAATCACGATCCTGCTCAAACCACTCAACGTAAGAAGCTCATTTTTGGCACACAGGTTGATTCTAGGGTGTAGAGGTTCGATAAGAAGGGATTTTTCGAAATCCCAGTTCCAAGAGGGTGAAACCACCCCTCAAATATTACAATATTCTTTATTTAAAAAACGGTCAAGTTTCCGAAAAAACGCTTAAACACGTATATTTTATTTTGTTTTACTTACATATTTTAAGATTTTTTAAAAATGTATACAGGGTGTTTCGAAAAATCTGGTCATTGATTAATCACGATCCTGCTTAAAGCGTTTGACGTGAAAAGCTGATTTTTGGAAAACAGATTGACTTTAGGGTGTAGAGGTTCCATAAGAAGGGATTTTTCGAAACTCGAATTCTAAGGGGGTGAAACTATCCCTCAAATATTAAAATATTTTTTATTTAAAAACCGGTGAGTTTTTCGGAAAAACTCTTAAACACGTATATTTTATTTTGTTGTTTTACATATTTTAAGATTTTTTATAAATTTATACAGGGTGTTTCATAAAATATGACCATTGAGTAATCACGATTCTGCTTAAACTACTTGACGTTTAAAGCTGATTTTTGGCAAACGGATTGACTGTGGGGTGTAGAGGTTCGTTAAGGAGGGGTTCGTTAAGGAGGAATTCCAAGAGGGTGAAAACGCCCCTCAAATATTACAATATTTGTTATTTAAAAAACGGTTAGTGTTTCGGGAAAACGCTTGGACAGGCATAATTTATTT